GACCCAAAATAAAATTGGTCACTCATTCCATGTTTTTTCGTGGGACGTCACAAATTGGCTACAGCAGTAATCCACAAATACATTCACTACACAGTAAATCCTGTGAATTGCTTTGAGATAGCTTGATGATGTGATGAGGCGCTACATCAAAATGCAAGGATTATTATATTATTATTATATTATTATTATATTAATAGTTAAGTTGGGTTTCAAAAACACACAGTTAATAGGAAGAAGAGAAGAGTGAGGGCATTAAGGTTGAAAATGCATGGTTCCAGCTCAGCTCCAAAGAGACTCTGATTACCTCCTTCCCCAAAACCCCCACAAATTCCGCAGACTTATATTGTGAAGTTCCATAGTATAGTGCCTTGCACACTCACCTCGCAAGCAGGAGAACCCAGCTTTGATTCCCAGACAGGGTAAAACCTTAGACAAGTTTACTTACTTCATACACCTCCGTTTAGCTAACCCGATTGTTAGTCAATTTGCGGATCGCTTTCTGGTAAATAATACCTCAAGAAATTGGGTCACTCAATCCATGACTGTTTGTGGGACACTGCTGTGCACAATTGGCTGCCACAATTCACCCACAAAATACACAATCAATCCCCTTTACAATATATTTTGTGAAGTGCTTTGAGATGTCAAAACAACGTGATAAGGCACTATATCAAATGTAAGGATTATTACTATTAATATTATTATTATCTTGCTTCACTGTGTGAGCTCTGCCTAGCTAGGGTCAAACATGGTTTGATATTACAGCCGCCTTTGGAATCACAGTATCTCCTAATCAATGCTATGCAACCCGAATGGTTTATTTGCTATTTTTGTGTAATTGACTAATGGAATCACAACACTAGGCCGTCTTGGCTCTCAGAGCCTCTGTGCAGAGAGAATCGGCCTTTGATACATGCTCAGCCGTGCTTGTACTTACATCTGATTTTTTTGAGGAAATTTGACCCTAATAGTGCAGATAGTGCAGATCTGGTTGACTACTGACCTCTGGAATCCGAAGATGACAGTCATGTCCTGACCATTATAATAATAATAATCCTTGCATTTTAATATAGTGCCTTATCACTTTGTTGAGACATCTCAAAGAACTTTTTTTTATAGATTCATAGAATAGATTCATAGAATGTTACGGCACAGAAGGAGGCCATTCGGCCCATCGAGTCTGTGCTGGCTCTTTGACAGAGCAAGTCACCTTCACTAACCCCAATCACCAGCTTTCTCCCCATAACCCTGCAAACCCGTCTTCCCCAGATACCTATCCAGTTCTCTCTTAAAAGCTGTTATCGAATCGGACTTCACTACCCTTTCAGGCAGATCATTCCAAATTCACTTCAGTTTCCAAAATCCCTAAATATATCCTGTGAAGCGCTTTGAGACATCTCATCAATGTAATAAGGTGCTATATCAAATGCAAGGATTATTATCATTAATTTTTCAATCTCACTTAAAATGCTGTTCACCTCTCCAAAGGCCCTCTGGGACGAAATGTTGGCCCATTCACCAGTTTTGCCTTTTCCTGTGCTGCAGACCACTGGATTCTCCTGTTTGAAGCCACTAGCAGAATGAGCTTCACGTCTGAAGCCTCCCCCCCACACCCAGCGATTAAAAACTGAATTAATCAGGTCTTCACTGGAATCCTTACAGCTGAATAGGCTACATGGATTACAGAATATTAGCCTGGTATTCAACTCAGCCTTAGTCTCTGTACCTTCTTTGTTAGCCAGCAAAATATCTCAAAGCCTTTATGATGGGTTTCAGGCCCTGGCAGTATTTATTCAGCTAAGCCTGCAGATAAGGGCTTGATGCAGCTGTTTCAACACAGCAGACACCTTCAAGTCTAACAGTGACCCGAGCGCGATCTCATTGCAGTGAAGCACCTCTCATAACGGAGCTGTAAGGCGTTTTGTGTTCATGTCATTAGACTGTTGTCAAGCCTCTTCCCGGTGTCAGCTTAATCCTTCATTACAATGCTGAAGACTGTCAGCCCTGGAGAAGTCCTGAGCAATGACTGGAATGTTTGCCCTCCACAAGCTGTTCACATGCTGGTCACTAAATCTCCAGGAGCACCAGCGTTCTTATTTGCAGTGTTAAAAAAATAAAGGGATTCAAAAGAGGATTTCAACGTAATTCAAAGAGTTACAAAGTTCTCAGGAAATGAAAGTAATAATAATATTAATAATGTATAATAATCCTTGTATTTGATACAGGGCCTATCGTGTTGTTGAGATGTCTCAAAGTGCTTCACAGGATACACTGTAAAGTGGATTGACTGTGCATTTTGTAGACAAAACTTGGTAATCAATTGCACCCAGCAATGTCCTACAATCATGGATTAAGTGACCAAACTATTTATTTTTAGGGATTATTGTCCCTGGAGACGAACAGTTAATTAGAAGTCAGGCTTTCCTCCCCTACAATTTCTCCCCTTCATTGCTCCAATCTTTAACTCAAAGAGAACTACTGCCTCACCTATCGCTCAACTGAACTCACCTCTCCCCCCCCACCACCCTCCACAAATTATTTGCATGTCTCAGACTCCTGTGGTGGGAACATTTGTAATTGGAAATAAATCAGTCAGTAATGCTGACAAGAAAGAACTTGCAAATTAGAACCATAGAAATTCGCAGCACAGAAGAAGCCAAATACAATCTATCAATAATAATAATAATAATCCTTGCATTTGATATAATGCTTTTCACAGCTTCTCGACATCTCAAAGCGCTTCACAGAATAAACTGTAAAGTGAATTGACTGTATATTTGTGGGCGAAACGCGGCAGCCAATTGCGCACAGCAGTGTCCCCCAAACAGTCGTGGAATGCAAATGACCAATTTATTATTGTTTTGTTTTGGAGGGATTATTATTAGGCGTGTGGAGTAAGGAAACTTGCCCAAGGTTTCATCCTGCCTGAAATTGAACCCAGGTGTCTCACTTGCAAGGCGAGTGCTCCAACCACTGAGCTACAGGACCTTCAATGGAATAATATCAACGGGATTAATGTTTGTGGGTGATACCAAACTAGGAGTTATGCTGAATAGCGATGAAGATGAACAGGTGATTTGAACAGATTAGCGCATGTGACTACACTACAAGGCCACCTTCTCCCCCCAGCTAAGCGTCAGGCTCCTCCACTGTTAAGTGCTTCGAAATGCTATTAAAAGGGCATTACATAAATGCAAGTTGTTGTTGCATGTGAAACATAGCTGTTATATGCACCAGCAAGATACCACAAACAGCCATGAGACAAATTACCACTTAATCTCAAAGATCACAAGATTAGTTTAGAGGCTCTTCAGACCAACTGATTTCATCCCTCCAGAATACCCTCCCTACTATCTCCCCATCACAGCATCAAGCTGCATTTCAAATCAGTCCAGTGTCCTGGCTTCTAACCTCTAACCTCTAACCTTGCCATTTACCTTCTGGGTATAGATGTGAACCTTGGTGCTTGGTGCTTGCACAAAACTGCGTTTGCTGCAAACGGAATACCAGGATTTAAGAATATACAGCATGGAAACAGGCCATTCAGCCCAACCAGCTAGTGCCAGTGTTTATACTTAACACAAATCTCAATCGTGGACTCAATCTCGGGAAACCTTTAAAAACCCAGCGAGTTTGTGAATTCTATAGAAAATAGAAAACATTTGAATTGATTGACTTTCACTATAAAAGGATCCCTGATATTTATTAGTGAAAATCGGGAAACAAATGACTTTAATACTTAAAAGCAGGCTTCGGTTTCCTGGTCCTGCCATTGCAGGGCAGGTTATGTTACCTGAAACCACTGTCTGCAGCACACTATTAATCCAATTAGATCTTTAAGTCATAAACTGTGACTGTTAAATAACGAAGGTCATTGACGCAGCTCCAAATAGTCGTTCAGTGGGAGAATATCTTGGGCAAATATTGTCCCTTCTATAAAACAAAAAAGACACACGTTGATTTTTAATGCACACAGCAACAAATGAGATACAAATGGAGAAGAAATTAGTGGTAGCACACCAATTACTGAGAGCTTATTAGTGTGCATGTTTGCTCTCATCATCAGAGTGTGTTTGCTGAAGCATTAGTTACTAACTCACTGTTGTAAAGATCACTCGCGTTTCAGTCACTAACTCATTGCTGTTCACCCATTGCCTTCAATCAGCTGGCTCGGGTCTTCTGCACATTCCTCATGTGAAACCCATAGCGTAGTGGTTCGCGCGCTCGTCTCGTAAGTGAGAGGATCCAGATTTGATTCCTGGGCAGGGTAAAACTATAGGCAAGTTTTCTTACTCCATATGCCTCTGTTTGCCTAGCAGAAAGTAGGAACCCGGTTGCTAGTCAATTGGCGAATCACTTTCCGGGGGTAATAATCCCTTCAATAAATAAATTGTTTGTGGGACCCTGCTGTGCACAATTTGCTGCCGTGTTTCACCCACAAAATATACAGTATATTCTGTGAAATGCTTTGAGACGTCTCAACAATGCAATAAGGCCCTATATCAAATGAAAGGATTATTATTAGTAGTAGTTGTAATATTATCCCCTCTGAGTTTCAGCCACTCTGCCCCGAATCTCTGGAACTTCTCAGCCTAAATGTCTTGCCCTCTGTCTGCCCATTTTCAAATCACACCGAAGACTTTCCTCTTTGAAAGTGCCTTCAGTCACCTCCCATCTCTTTCCAGCTCGGCTTCAAACAACACCGCTGTTAAGTGCACTGAGACGCTACCCGCGTGAAAGGCGCTATATAAATGCAACTGCTGTAAGATCTCCTGGGGGAGGAATGGGTGATATACACAAAGATTTGGCCCAAATTTCACTACAAAACAAAATACACAGTCACTACTATTTACAGTAAATCCTACAAGGCACTTTGAGACTCCTCCCAACATGAAAGGCACTGTATCAAATGTTATTATTTTAAGGGATTTAAAGCGAGAATACAGCTGTGAATACTTTTCGAGATTTTCAACGAAAACAAGTATATTTTTCCTTCTAAGAATCACAGGGAGACGCTACCTTGTGTGGAGGGCACCAAGACAGTGGAAGAGAACAAGATTTAGAGTTGCAAAGGGGAATTTCAGGACAGACACCAGGAAGTTTACGACTGGAACAGGATTGCCAGAAAGGGTGATTGAGGCAATCTGGACTCATCTAAACCTCAGCTTGATGCTGTAATGACAAGATGGTAGGCTGAGTTTTGCGAAGCAATGCGATCAAATGCCCGAAGGACTTTCTTCGATCAAACCAGCCAACCTTGTGATCTTGTGATTTGGCTCAAAATATACACTGTCACTCCAGTCCAGGACTGATTGAGCACTGCACTATTGGGAGTTGGCGTCTTTTTGGATAAGATGTTAAACTGAGGTCCCATCTGCCTGCCCTGGTGTTTCAAGTGGACATTAAGGATCCCCGGGACCAGAATAGGAGAAAACCTTCATATCCACACAGTTGATAAAAAGACAGTGTGGCTATCTTATATTATTTATATTATTATTATTTATTATTATTATTATTATCTGGTCTGTGTATGTTGTGTGTGTTTCTCGCTTCTTCTGCCTCTCAAACCGTCTGTGCGGTGATGTCTTTTTTTCTCTAATCTTGTTGTTACCTGGGATTGATCTCTCCACTTTGCCTGCTTGGGGGAAATCACCAACCTGAACACCTCGGAATAAGTGAATAGCAAGCCTCACCATTATTGCAACAAACCATGCATTCAATTCATATCAGCGAAGGATTCCCATCAAAACCCAATGGAATTTCAAAAACGAATCCAAAATCAATGGTGTTGTTTTATGTCTAATGGCTATCTTTTGATGCTGTAAAGATAAAGTTGAACATGTGTTGACCATATGTTTGTCTGGAAGCCTTCCGAGTGATGCTTTATAAGATCAGTGTCCACCTTCACCATTTATGTCTGGACTGACAGGCGGAGGCGTGTAATTTATGTTATGAATCGGTTCAATTAAACTGAGAGGAAACTTCTCTTAACCACTGCCTTTGTTATAAATATCTATTTAACAGGTGTACCACGAACAGGAACAGGAGAATGGGATTCACAGTTTTGAATAGTTGAACTGAATTGGTCTTGTAGATGAACGCTGCAGGTGATCTGCATCATTGTCGGCCATCTATCACCAGGACTGTTCTCCTTAGAAGAAATGTAACGGGATCTCGTCAGAGCTGAACTTGCTCCAAGGTGACATGCCTGGCAATGGAATATCGGAAGTGAGCCTGCCCTCCTTGACGGTCTCAGTAGTCCCGTTCCTGAGCCAGGCCCAGGGCACTGCTGATGACAGCACAGCATCCTGGCTCATCGGCAAGACCTGGACAGGAACATGTCACTGGGAGCAAGGATTCCTCCTACTCAGCTTCTTTGTGAGTGTCACAAGAGCTCAGTGTGTGTGGGACACATGAGAGCCTAGTGTGAGGGGGAGACGCGAGAGGCCAATGCGTGGGAGAGGGGAGACATAATGAAACTGACCACAGTTTTGACAAAGGCCAGGGCTTTTTCTCAGAACTATTATTAAAACGAGGTGGTAATAAAATTCCGGAGCTCAGATCCCAAGCCTGCCTTCTGGGAGACAGATGGTGATGAGATGTTTTATCACCGCCTGGGAATTCGCCTGCAGGCAGATGTTGTAAACGGAGGGCGATATGTGTGATGTCAGTCTGGCTCAGCTGGTAGCACTCAATCCACGACTGTTTGTGGGACACTGCTGTGCACAATTGGCTGCGGCGTTTCGCCCACAAAGTATACAGTCAATTCACTTTACAGTGTAATTCTGTGAAGTGCTTTCAAACGTCTCAACGATGTTATAAGGCGCTATATCACATGCGAGGATTATTATTATTATTACCGTGGTGTGAGGCTCAAATGCACAAGTGTACTTTCTGAGAGAAGCGAGAATGCTATTAGACACAAACTACCTGACTGAATAGTCAACTTCAAGTTAAAAAAGAATTTAGGCTCCTAGCAGGTTAGCTTGACAGTTACAGTAAAGTTTGTTCAATATCATGAAGGTTTCAAACAACAGCTCATACCTACAGAGCAAAACAAAAACAGGTTGTGGACCCGAAACTTTGACTCACTTTCCTTTCTCCATAGATGCTGCCTGACCTGCTGACTGTTCCCAGCCACTTCTGTTTTAGTTTTATTCGTTTCATGGTTGTTTTGTGAGACATTGCTGTGTCCGATTGGTTGCCACTTTTACCTGCAAATACACAGTCACTCCACTTTACAGTAAATCCTGTGACAAGCTTTGGGATGCCCAAAGCCCAAGATGCCCTCCTGATGTGAAAGGTGCTACACCAAATGCAACGATTATTTATTATGTTTTACATGGAATGAGCTCACAGAGCCACTGAATTGTAATAATAATAATCCTTAGATTTGGTATAGCACCTTTCACGCTGAGAGGACATCTCAAAGCGCTTCATAGGACATACTATAAAATAATTTGTACATTTAATATAGCGCTTTATCATGACATTGAGACGTCTCAAAGAGCTTCACTGTAAAGTGGATTGACTGTGTATTTTGTGGGCAGTGTCCCACAAACAGCCATGGAGTGAGTGACCAACTTTATTTGGGGAATTTTGGCCAGGATCTCACTTCTCTTTTTGCATAATGCCATTGGATCTTTAACGTTTATCTGATCAGGCAGACGGGACCTCAGGTTAACGTCTCATCCGAAGGACGGATGAAGTCACTTTCTATTTTGTAATGGAATGTGATAGCCAAATTGCGCTTAGCAATGTCCCCCAAATATCTAGTATCTGAATTGTTACCCTGAAAGAATTATAATAATATTAATAATAATAATTCTTGCATATGGCCTTTCCCATTATAAGGACATCCCAAGCCCTTCACAGTACTCACTATAAAGTGAAGGTACTGTGTATTTGTGGGCAATGGACATGAAGGGCACTATATAAACGCAAGTTGTGTTTATTTATCTGTTTATTTATTCTTTTTGAATAAAATAATTGGGGACTTTTGGTTTCCTGAAACACATTTACAAAGAATCACAGCTTGAGTTAGTCATTAGCTGTTCCAATTTCCCTGTAAACAAAATTAAAGGGACAGATTTCCTACCATACCTTGCACACACACTGAACGGAGGGGAAGTTGTTCCCCATGTTAATTAAAACAGGAAACAGATGCTTGCAGTCATTTGTTCACTGTGAGGAATCCCACCACCTGGTTTCTCAATTTCTGGGGAAGAAGTCAAATGATGTGAAAGTCAAATCTCTTAATGAAGGAATCCGCATTACACAAATGGGATTTGATTCTGTATGAAATACCGCATTTTTTTCTCCCCACTTCCCCCCACGGCACTATTTGAAAAGAGAAAGGAGTTTCTCCTGGTGTCCTGGACAATCCCTCAAAGAATAATAATAATAATAATCCTTGCCTTTGATATAGTGCCTTATCACGTCTTCAAGACACTCACTCCATGGATGTTGTGTGACTTTGCTGTGTTCGCCTATAAAATACTATACAGAGTCTACATATACTCCACTTTACAGTATATATATCAGAGCGCTTTGAAATGTTCTCCTGATACGAACGATACAAGTATTATGCTAATTATTTTTATTGCTTTGAGCTGAAATTGAGTCCCAGTTACAGAGAAGAATATGATATGTTATGTTATAACCATAGACAGCAATCCTCTGGAACACTGCTTGTTCACTTCATAGCTGTTGGTGAAACCAAACCTGGCCACCGACAAAAACAGCTTTAATATGTTTCAACATTATCAAATGCAAGGAGTGTTAATATTATTCCCCTTGCTTTTCAAGTACCGTAGTTCCATGGGATCTTTAACATTCACCTGAACAGGCAGACAGGACCTCGGTTGAATATCTCATCCGCTGGGACCCAGCACTGTATTGGACTGCCATTTGAGTGTGTCAATTGAAGGTCAGGACATGGGGCTTGAACCCACAACCTTCTGACTCAGGGGTGAAAGTGCTACTAACTGAGCCAGGCTGACACATAGGACCACTGGGTCAACTCATAAAATCTCTCCATAGATGTTTGTGTCTTATGGCTGGTCGAGTCCCTTGTGGCCCATTGCACAATGGCATTGAATAATCTCAATGTAAGGCTGCCACACCATTAAAGGTTAGAACATTGAATAAAAATAAGGTCAGTCTAAAGGGAACCAGCGAAGCTCCTACTGGAAGGGCACAGGAATGTCCATGCCCACGTCATGTCAGCGGTGGTGGGCTCAGCACCCTTACCCTGCCGCGTTTGCCCACAAATATACAGTCAATTCACTTTACAGTCTATTCTGTGAAGCGCTTTGGGACGTCCTCCCGACGTGAAAAGCGCTATATCAAATGCAAGGATTATTATTATTACAGCTGCTGACATCTTTGCTGATCCAATAGATCTAAAATGTTCAAAGAGCAGGAAGCCAGGAAGCCAGGGGAAGACACTGAGAGGCTTTTAGAAGGATGTGTTCTATGAGGTGGGTTTGGTTGTTATTGGTTCATTGTAATCTAAGTCACTGAGGACATCTATTTTGGATCTGAGCCTGTTCGATGGAGGTCACTTCCTTGTAATAAAATAACTTACAGCCTTTTAATGGAGGGTTTTGTTGTCATATCCATTTATTGAATTGCTTTTAGCATCTATTTGTTGCTAGGTCCGTTTCCTAAGGTAGGGCCACTTGAGTAGTTACATCTGTGCAGGAAGTCAGAAGTAGTGGGATTACACACAATGTGGGGAAACTAAAAGGACCGCATGTGTTTGATGGGTGAGCGAATGGGGCTGAGCCATAAGAAACTGCTGATGAATAAGAATCAGCTGGGAAGTTCCGATAATAATAATAATTGCATATAGAGCCTTATCACATTGTTGAGACATCTCAGAGTGCTTTGCAGAATATGCTGTAAAGTGAATTGACTGTATATTTTGGGGTCAAAACGTGGCTGCCAAATGTGCACAGCAGTGTCCCACAAACAGTCGTGGATTGACTGACCAAATTATTATTTTTTTATGAGAGATCATTACCCTCGGAAAGCAAACCAGCAATCAACTAACAACTGAGTTGAAATTGTTGTTTT